TCTTTGGTCCCAGCTCTGTGGGTCTGAGCCACCCTGGTGCTGGAGCTTGGTTCGATGGAGAGCGAACCGCACAAAGATGAAATAATAAGGGTTTTGCTTTCAGAATTCTGTTTGCAGCTGAAGAGAAAGTATTATAAAAGACAAAAGAAAAATGGCAGGTTGATGGCAGTAGGTTGTGAGGTTCTGTGTTGGGATGTTAGCTGTGCCCTGAGCTCTGTGCTGCAAGCCACTGCTGTGCAGCAGACCCAGTCTGTGCGGGGCAGCGCGGGCTGAGGCTGCTGCATCCTGTGTGCTTGTGAAGCACTTGCAGGGCTCACTTGTTGGGCAAATGGCACAAAAATAGCCACGCATCTAACGGTTTTAATTGCATTATTGTTCAGTTTAGTCTTGATTACGCTATCATAATATGATCAAACTGCTGATACAGTTAGAACTAAATCATGTTAAAGTGCGGTTGTTACAATATAGAGTGCTACTCAAAGTATGTTTTCTGTGTTTTACTCAAATGACCAAATTGCTTTACAGCTAGTTGGCTGTTGTTTGATTTTGGTAGAAATAATGCACACTTTCAGGCCTGTAGGAACGCCAAGTGGGTGCTCAAAGTCTTGCTTAAAAATCCCTTCTGTAGCCTTCTTACGAAGTTGAATGCAGATTATTTGTAATTAAAAAAAGGTGTAATTATTTGGAAACAAATGAGCCATATTTTATGAAAACAAATTCTGATTGCTCAGTAGGTGTTGGGGGGCACACTTTATTTAATACCAGCTTTCTTCTTGTGAAACAACTCAAAGAAATTATTGGGAATACATTTGGTCCTTGATGTAAATCTCATCTGGCTGACATTTTAACTGTTGCTGCTGCATAATTGGTTCTGAAGAATCATCACCTCTCCTTCATGGACAGATAAATAATTCAGGGACAAACTTCTTCAGGCAGCAAACTGTTCTTCAGTCAGCTGAGAGCATCCTCCAAAGTCCTCTAATTTTCTGAATTAAGGAAGCAAGGTCTCTGCTTTTTATATACGATTAACTGAATTTCAGTGAAAAATCAATGCACCTCTGAGCAGTCGTTCTGCATTTCCTCAATCTTTGTCCTGACCATGGAGCCGTGTCCAAACTTTGTGTCTCTTTGCTGTCCGGAAAGCTCTGCTGAGTTACTTTGTAAAGAAAAGAGAGAAAGAGAGGGAAACAAATGGAACAAAAAAGGTGTGTGTGTACGGGGAACCCCTCAGAGCAGCCCCCCTTACCCTACACCCAAATTGTTATACAGGCACGCTCATATTAGTGCAATTACACAAGAGTATAAAACCCAGGTTGTGGATCAGGTCTCAGGATTCGTTGCATTTTGTGTATCTGTCTGTGCTGTATGTATGCGTGCTCCCCTGACGAGGGCTGCTGGCTGGGTGGTGCTGGTGTTTCCTTGGCCTGCTGGTGGCAGGTGGCTCAGCACCGGCTGCTTGCTGTGTCAGCCTCTGCTGGGTCACAGCATTTCACCAACAGATTTGAGTTAACTGCACCTACTGTGTGTTTTGGGATAAGTACGTTTTTACATTTAGAACAGATTTCCAGTGGAGGCACATACTGGTTACGTAGCTCATGCTTGGCACTTCCTTCAAACAGTCAGATTTTTAAATAGAAACTGTTGCACGTTGAGCTAGCAAGGTATTAGTGGTCCTGCGCTCCTTTTGTCGATCCCCTGTTGTTTAGCTCACAGACATATCGTTAGCAAAACGCCAAAGGCTGCTGCAGTAAGGAGCTGCCTTGCTTCTACAAAGAAAGCGTATCTTGAAACTTTTCTGCTCCCAGAGCCTGCCTGTACAGCAGGAGCGAGGTGCACGTCTGCCATGGAATCAGCCGTGTGTGTGCATTAATTTCAGGAAAAGGGGGATCTTCCGGCGTCCTTCTGTAATTGAAATATACATCTGAAGGAAATGTGCTGCAGCATTATTGCTGTTTTGGCAATCTGTTATGAATTTTATTGCAGAGAAATAACTGGGTCAACCTCTGGCTGACCTGTCTCCTGGAGTTCCTTCAGTTAGCTTGAGGCTAGAGCTCCACCTTGTGATCTTTCAGCAGGATACATTTTCTTTTTATAGTTAATAATTTAATTATGATTTCACGAAGTTGAATGACTCCTGAAAGTTTCCGTAGTCTGAGAGGTTTCATCATCTGCTTAGGAAAATTAAAGTTGAGATCCTATGAACATACAGATATGCAAATATATATATATATGTATATATATATATGAAGAACTGCATTTTGTGATGCACTGGAGGTGGATTTAACTTAGTAAAAGAATGTGCTTTTCATTGCATGTCAGTAGGTTATGGGGGTTTCCAGGTTTGGGATGGGATCTGCATGAATGTCACCTTCCTGCTTTCAGCCTGCTCTAGGAAGAGCTTGGTATTTGAGAAACTCTGAAATGCTCTGCTTCTGTGGGCGGTTCTCATTTCTCACCAGTTTCCCAGCCCAGGGCTGTGCGTGGCCCATCAGAGCCGCCAGCAGGGCATGGCCAGTGGCACTGCTGGGAGCGGGGTGCTGGGGAACGGCCGGCGCAGTGTCAGAGAGTGCTGGTGAAACTGGGATGCGGCGAACTTCAGGGTCAGCACGCGGCTCTTCGTAGCATGTGGCCTTGTTGTGGCATTTCTCGTGTGGAACATCGTGGCAGCTGGATTTTGGGTTCAAAGCCAGTGGAAGTGTTCATGGGAAAAAATAGCGATTAGAGTAACACAGCAGACGGGCTCCTTTCAGGCAGCTTCCTTTAGGCCCTGCTGGTCGGGGTCACTGGACTGGCCTGGCTGCCTGGCACAGCTCTGGGACTTTCCTGGGGCCCTTACAGCTGTACTGGGCACTGTTGGGGCCTGGGCTTCCTACTGGAGTTCCCTTACAGTCTGTCTTACCTTGTGTATTCTTGCAAGGCACTCACCTAAGTACAGTTCTCCATTAAGACCAGCGCCACGTTGCACTCATGAAGGCCAAACTTTTTCTTCTTCCTTCAAGAGGAATTCTCTGAACGTTAACTCTTAGTCGTTAAACTGTTCAGCCCCTAGAGGAACGTGGTGTTTCTTACCTGTTCTTGTGTCCTGGCAGTGCCATTTTTCCTGTCTTGTTCTGTTGCTTGTCCTGAGATGAGCGATTGGGTATAAACCACAGGCAGCAGGTTTCATGGTTTGGTCTGACTTTGTTGACTTAGAAAATGCAGTTTGGTCATTTGCCCGGACTCTCACGTACTTTTGTTACTTTTTTTCTTTACAGTATTCCTCTGACTCTCAAAAAGCAGACTTACACAGATGATACAGTTGGAATAATTATAATCCTGAGCGTGGAGCGTTGCATCATGCATGCAAGGAGCAGATGACTGTGCTGACACCAGTGCTTGCCCCGCTGGTGGCTGCATGCTGGGTTCCCCCCTGCAGAACCAGCCCGTCTGGGTGATTTGGAATAGAATAGAATTCTTGGGATGTGTTCTGCCCCGTGTTAGTGGGGAGCTACAGCAGATGGTGCTGACTGACAAGCCCTCGGGAGATGGGCGGCAGCCATTCCCAGGCAGGTTGATGTCCTGGCTGGATGCAGTCCAGGCCCGGGGACAGAAGCGCGATGTGCTTTGTGCTGTAGGCAGGGGCCCTGGCAGCGGTGATACTGCCCTGCAGGAGCTGTGCTTTGAAAACGTTGATCTGTGTTCTGGCTGCACTTGGCTGGGGCATTTGTAGGCTGTCTGGGGGCTCTCCTGCCTACCCCGAACTTCCCTTCACAGCTGTTTGTTTCCAGTCTGGTTTTTGTCTCCACGTATCCGTATGAAATGTGAAGAAGCAGAATGAGAGAAGTTTAGGGTTGATGGTTTCTCTCAGCTCTTCAAATTCTGGAAGCTGCAGTGGCCCCTAGCATTCACACACAGCATTTGCAGGAATAAATGTGCAGCCTTGATCTGTGTGTTGGGCTGAAATGCAGGCTTGGAATCACTGCTGCCAGACAGCAGGCAGAATGTACTTAGCATGCTGAAGTGACATCCTTCCCACACATACCTCATCAGCCCAGCATGCTGCATGGTCAGCAGTTTCCAGCTCTGAAGGTTCCTCTCCTGGCTGTTGTGACTTCAAACACCTGAATCTTGGGCTTCACTGATCTGCATGGAATTTATCTTGAGGGAGGCAGATGGCATAGGAGGTTTCGGTATGCATGGTGCAGTTTCACATTTGAAGCATTCAGTGACTTCTTTTCCCACTAAGGATGGGAAAGTGAGTTAAATAAAATGAAAGAGGAACTGATAATATTATTAAAAAACTTGAAAAACTAGGATTTTGCAGTCTTAAGTTTTCATGGTAAGGTGTTATGCTATTTCTGAAGATTTTCTTTTTTATAATTTATAGGCAGTATTTTCCTCCTTGATGTTGCTTGAGGCATGTCAATTGCTTTACATGTTCAAGCTGTTAGGAGCCCGGATTGTTGGCTCTTAAGGGAAGGCAGTGAAGCAGCCTGTTGGGTTATAAGGACTTTAAGAGAGCCTCTCTTTGCACTAAATGTCGGCCAGGTTTACACCTTGGAGAAGAGGAGCTGGTGTGCTTAATGTCCTTAGGGGTGCTCACACTGTGCTTTAAGTTTAGCATCAGTTCTGCTTTTTGGTTTGTTCAGCCACGGTGTCTGAGTGCTGATGGTAGAGCCTGGGCTCTGCAGAGAGCAGCACTGAAGTTCAGACTTCAGTCTAGGACAGACTTAGGAAAGAGTTACTGTCAAAGCATAGGTGGAAACCTTTTGAGATGGCTCATACTGTTGAGAAAAACTTTTTGTACTTAATGCTGTTGTATTTCTTTTTACTGCGACTCTCCCAATGTTTGTGGAGATGCTTTTCAGGAGGATCACGGGAAGGGTCAAAAACACAGCATCTTAAAGAGGAAAAGCCTTGGTTGGAAACAGTGGTGTGATTGAATGTTTTCTGTTTCCAACTTTTCTACTTCTTCATATGAATTTAATGTATTTAATTTTTTATTTTTTTTTTAATTACAGAAGTTGACTGCTACAAAGGAAGAAAGGAAAGTAAGCTTGTGCTTCAGCCTGGTTTTTGAATATCTTTCTAATACAGTGGTGTTCCAGAAGATGATAAAGAAATGATAGCAGCTCCAGAAATACCAACTGATTTTACTCTCCTCCAGTAAGTGCTTCCAGAATTTTTAGTTTCATTTAGATGGTTTAAACTTTCTGGTGTGTGCTGCTTAGTGGTAATAGCTGCTACTGGTTGTTTCCCTTGGAAACAAAATAGGGGAGTAGGGTTCTAGATCGTTTTTCTTATTGAGAAGTTGATGAAAATAAAGCATTGTTAGAGTTCTTTCTTGAGCATTTAGTGGTGAATAAAACAGTTTAGAAGTGCTTGTTTTTTGTTAGTTGTTTTTAAATCAATTTTTAATCTTTGCTAATAGAAAACAATCATGATCAACTTTTTGGTCTTGTGGCTTTGGGGTTGAAGGTATTGAGTAAGAAACACTTCGAGGGGTAACAAAAATTCAGAGTTCCCTCTTCATAGGGAGTTGCAACCTTGGAGTATTTACCCTTGGCAACCTGCCCCAGTTGCTCATTTACAACCCCAAATGCCAAGTGCATTTGATGGGACCGCTAAGCTTCCTCCAGTTTTTAAGAATAAGTATTTAAATTTACAGTATTTTAAACCAGGAAGAAATAATTATTTCATTTCTGTATTCAAAATGTAAAAACGGATGAGAAGAATCCAGTTCCCTCCTTTTAGTTTGTTGTTAAGAAGTTAGCATGAATCCTTTCCAACAATCTGTTGACATGTATTAAATTGATTCAAAAAAAAATCCAAAAAGACACAGTTTTGTGCTGGTTGTGTGTGTTCTTTTAACGAGAAAGCAAATTGTCTGTCATGTTTTTGGTTTTTTTAGCATGTGGGTACAGTTCATTGTTTAATGAAACATTTGGAGTTTGTGTTCTGCTCTGTCCTGTTAAAGAACCCATAAGAAGCATTGAAGAGTAAAGGTTTCTCATCACTTTTTTGCAAGATTCAGGATTTTTTTTCCAATCTGTTACAGAATGTATAGTTGGCAAAACCAGAACATTAACGTGGCAGGACAGAAACCTCCTTTCAGGCAGTTCTACAGCAGTGGGGAGCCATGGGTTTCCAGGGTGCTTTAGAATGTTAGAAGTAAATATATTGAATGGGTCTTTCTCCCCACAGTCCAGGTCATCTTTATGATTACATTGTTTAATTGCATCAGGAAAGGTGTACTAGAAATTTGTGATAGCAACTAGAATTCATACTGCTGTATGTGTTAAAGTAAGCTCTAATGGCATCATTTGAGTTGTTTCCTACAGGAAATGCAGAAATAGAGAATCTAAGCTATTACTTCATAATAATTCAGATGATTTATTTATTTATTCGTCTGTTTCTGGTTTGGACATGGCCAATAAAGAATTTGCATTCTGATGCAGCATCTATGAATGTTGTAGGAAATCAAAGAACTTTGGAAGTTATCATATTAAACATCTTTTTATCTTATGTAACCTTACAGAGAACAGCAGATGATCTCTGGTGGAGAAATGTCACCTGAGACCTTTCTTCCCTTGCACGTTTCAACAGAGCTGCTCAGTGTTTCTCATAGTGAGGTAGCAGGAGATGTATGGAGACACTTTGGTTGTGAAGGATGGTGGTGGATTCGTTGTTGTGTTTTCTCTTAAATATTCATGACAGATATTTGTAGTGCTGTTTGGTGGCAGAGGCACTGTAATTTTTGCACATGCCAAAAACAGAGTTTCCAACTTGCTGCTATTTATGCTGACCTTTACCTGTGGAAACCATACAGTGAGGCTAAAAGGAAATGATTGTGTTGGGCTGAGGCAGGGTGAGCTGTGAGCATGGGGATTTGCTCCTATTTGTCCTTTGAAAGTAGACTTAAACAGGAGGAAAAGACGGCTTCCCTGTTGGAGGTGGCTTACTGAACCGAGGGCATGGTGTGACTGCATGTAGTTTATTTAAGAATGTTTCTGGTAAGATGTGTAAATGGTTTGTCTTTTATCCTTGCAGGGAGTCTGAAACACACTTCTCTTCCGATACAGACTTTGAGGATATTGAAGGAAAAAACCAAAAACAAGGCAAAGGAAAAGTACGTTCGTTTTACTGGGACACTGAAAAACTTGTAGTGTTATAGAAGTTCAGCACTCGTTGTGAAGCTGAGACAGAATTGAATTTTTTTTTAATTGAAGTGTTCTGAGGGGAGAGTTCATGTTTGTATTTTCATTGGAATATTGATCTTGATTATTGGCGTGATGTTTCCTTCCTGCTGTGAAGGTGCTAGCAATGGGGGAAAAATGCAGTACTTCAACTTCAAGACTGCTAATAAGAAGTCTTTTCTGGTTGGTGTCATTAATTCTAGCTCTGTTTTCATTGGAAAAGTAAACAAAAAACAATAATTCAATTAAAAACTCATTAATCTTGTTTAAACACAAGGAAAACATTTTGTGTCTTAACTGTCACTAATAGCATTTTTAATTGCCAAAAGATTTTAAAGAGGAGGAGGAGGAATTTTAAAGAGGAGGAGGAAATGGAACCTGTAGAATCCAGTTAGTCTTTGTGTCAGTCAGCATCAGCTGTTATGCTCAACTTCAGATTTTAAATCTGGGTTTTGATAACATAAGGCCTGTGCATAGTTGCATCATGTAAATGATACGTTAGTGTTGATCATTGTTTTGTTTATTTTTATTACTACATGAAAACTGATTAAGAAGTGTGTGTGTGTGTGATTGCAGACCTGTAAAAAAGGTAAAAAAGGACCTGCAGAAAAGGGGAAAAGTGGAAACGGAGGAGGGAAACCTGGTGGTCCAAATCGGATGAATGGACATCACCAACAGAATGGTGTGGAAAACATGATGCTGTTTGAAGTAGTTAAAATGGGCAAAAGTGCTATGCAGGTAAGGTGTGGGATATTCCTAAGACTTGGGTGAGTGTACAGGTTACATATAACAATGGTTTTCCATACAGATGATCTACTAAAATTAAGCTTGAAGTATTTTTTGTAGCTTTTAGTTATTGGTTAAGATAAGGAAATGTTTTTACATTGTTAAAATTAGAATTTTGAAGAACTGTTTTTTTGTTTCTAAGTACCAGATGTGAATAATCCAGGTGTATAATAAAATAAAATTCAAAATATAAATCAGCAGAGTTTGCTTGACTCTGCACATCTTCAGTGAAGAGAGGGTTAAAATGTGAGGCTGCCAGCCATGGAGAGTTCCTGCTGACTCACTCATGTGACTCCTCAGCAGCCTGGCAGAAAGGCTATCTTTGGGATTGAAAATGCAGTTTGCAGCTTCTGTGGTACGTATGCAGGAAGCTGGGTCTGTGTGCAGCCCTCTTGGCACTTGCAGGCTCCTGCTTCAGGCCCCAGCTTTTAGGACATGATATCAAGTGATTCTCTCGTGCTTGTGTTAATAAATAAATGGTATCCTGTATCTTTTGTATGTTTCTTCAGTAAACAGTTTGTACTATACACACGAATGATTTAAAGATGATTGTGCATGAATTCTTCCTGCATATAACATTATTGCATATTTCCTGCTAATTTGCTTCCCTTGAAGGTTTTGTAGCAGAACAGTTGTGTTGCTTTGCCATTCTACTAGTCATTATGCTTTGGTTTTAGTTAACACAAAGCAATTAATGCCCATGCAGCATAGGGCAGTAGTGTTCATTCTGTTACAGCTCACGTGCTTGGAACATAGTTCATCATAGGGGTAACAATTAGGAGGAGCATAGGGAGTTGCAGCTGTTGGAACTGATCACCACAGTAGTATCTTTAGAGAAGTTAAAGAAATGAGCAAACAAAAAACTCTGTTTCTGTAAAAAGCTACTTGTTATTTTTGATCTCCTCTTCGAAAAAATGAGGGTACTGTAAGGTAGTCCTGTGCTTTTTGTGCACGTGTCACTTCTGTACCTGTGTATGTTTATGGATGACACTATTTTTATAATTGCTTGTTTTTTGACAAATTGGTGCTCTATGAGTAAAAGCTCGTCCAAGCATGTTCTACATCAGTCAAAAAAATGCAGTGTTCCAGCTATTCTTGTAAGGACCAAGAATCCCTTACAGAAAGCACTTAATAGTACCAACTGCTCAGTTTCTAAAAGCTAAACGTTGCCTTTGTATTTGTCTATTTTCAGTCTGTGGTGGATGACTGGATAGAGTCATACAAACATGACAGGGATATAGCACTTCTTGATCTCATCAACTTTTTCATTCAGTGTTCGGGTTGCAAAGGTAAGATACTGAAATGATACTGAAATGTTACTTTATATGCTCCTTATGTGCTGCTGTAGCATGATTTTCTCTTTGTAGGCTATAGTATTTCTGAAGTTGGGAGCTGGGGGAGGAAAAAGTTTAGAAGTATTACAGAAGTACTTTAAAATGTAGATTAAATCTTTTGTGTTCACACTGGAGAGAATGGAGTCCTGGTACTTAATACTTCCCACATCTTCCTCAATTGCTGGTATTATTTCAGAATACCATCTGTGTTTTAGTGTTGATAAACTTGACTTGCTTGGTCTTGCAGCTGTAGTTTATATTTAGTTATTTCATATCCGTGAGTGTTCAGAGATCACTCAGTAGCCTTTTAGAAGTGTTTGATGTGCAGGGTATTATGGACAGCATCATGGTAGCCTGTCTTCAGTATTTCCATTTTTCTTTTGTTTGGGAGTTTCTGGTTTTCTTTCCTCTAATCCACGTCCTCCACTCTTTTCCCTCTTACCTCCTTTAGAAGATGAGAAAGTAACTCTGCAGTGTCACAGCACTTGAGTATTAAGTGTGACTGGATGTAGTTTGCTCAGTTCAAGTGTCTCCTGATAAACTTAAAACATGTATAAATCTTCAGAGAGCTTAGAGCATTTCTCAGAGATGTTAATCGTCCTTTCCAGAGCAGTGACCTTTTGATTATTGTTACCAGCCAAAATGACAGAATCTCTTCCTACTTTCTGAGATGATACATGTCTTGAATTTTGCAGTACAGTTGCAATAAACTTTAGGAGATCGGTTTCTTTTAATATCTCCCTTTGCACTCTAGTAATTTGTGGCTAAGAGAAGTAGAAATTTCATGAAATCGCTGAATTTATTATAGTGCAGAAGTCAATAGGTAGCAATGGAACTGTTCAAAATTTTGTCTGATACCATTTAGAATCTTGAATCCAAAAAGATCAGATAATTATGTTCTGCCAGCTGATGAAGAGGGCTGGTACACATTTCCTTGACTTCTGAATGTGAATGAATGAGTGAACTTTAGTGTGCACACATTGTATGTAGTGGCAATAAAACTGCTGGTATTCCTCTCTTCTTACAGATGCCAAATTGAAGCCTGTTTAACTTAGTTTTAAAAAACAAAACAACCAACAACAAAACCCAGCAATCAATGTAAAACCACCATCACTAAAAAAGATACCCATAATCTGTAGATTGAGTGAAAAGTGGTCATAGCAGGAGATAACATCATCATTTGCCTTCTACCTGTTAAAGTGTTAATAATCTAATATCTGAATTGCAGGAGTTGTTACAGCTGAGATGTTCCGACACATGCAGAATTCTGAAATAATCCGGAAAATGACAGAAGAATTTGATGAGGTAATTTAATGAAAGTGCTGAGAATGTGTGTTCTTTATTTTTTAAACCTGTCCTAATCTTACTGGATCGTGTTGCTGCAGGTTTCTTTCAAGTGTAAGAATAACCATGAAAGTGTCAAAACCTCATGAAGGAGAATTTTATTTCTTAGTCCTACAAATTCAGTGAAGGCTGTGTGTGTATATGAGCTGGCTTATTCCTGGGTTAAGAAATCAGTATCTGCTGCTCAGTTTTAGAACAGTGGGAACTCCTGTTGCTGTGGGGCATTATGACATGCTCCCTCTCATCTCTTCCACACCTCCCTGTGTTTGTGAGGCCCTTAAAGGCTTCTTTAAGGAACTTGTGAAATATTTGCTGTATTTATTTCAGTGTGTCCGTTAATCTGTAAGTGGTGTATTTTTTAATTTGGTCATGCTTCCTGTTTAAGACTTCAGTACTTTGTGCTTTTTGGGACTTGTAACCTTTTTGCTTATTTTGCAATATTTACTTCCAGAATGTTGTCTCTGCATATAACAAGCCTGAGCTGTAAATTATGGTGGATGTCTGTTAGTGGAATGAGTTTATTTGGAGATCTTGGCTCTTAAGTTTTACTCATCTCTTTTTAATCTTCGCTTAAAAACAACTTCTAAGACTTTTGAAAGAATTTCCTCTTTGTATATCTGTCTTTGTTTGTTTTTTAATAGGACAGTGGAGATTATCCTCTAACTATGGCTGGTCCCCAGTGGAAGAAGTTTAAATCCAGTTTTTGTGAGTTCATTGGAGTACTCGTCCGACAATGTCAATATAGCATCATATATGATGAATATATGATGGATACTGTCATTTCACTGCTCACGGGGCTGTCAGACTCACAAGTCAGAGCGTTTCGGCACACTAGCACGCTGGCAGGTCAGTGAACTTTATTTATCTGTGTACTGCTTCCATGTTATGTCTTGTGTTGCACAGGAAGAAATTGTTGAATGTTTTGATATTCAGCGTTCAACTCATGTTCCTTCGTATGATACACGTCTCTAATGCAGCTAGTTTTGGTACAGCTTTCAGCACATTACTGCAAATTACTGAATTATTTAAATAGTTCCTTACCAGCTGCCCTGTACTTCATTTTTGTTAGCTTTAGGTCTATTAGGAAAAGCAAATACCAACTGTTCAAAATGCAGTTGAACTTGTACGTGCTCTGAGTTAAGTCAAACCAGAGTCATGTTATAAATGGAATGCAATTTTTATTACAAATTTAAATTCCTTGTAATTGACAGTAGCATTTCCATTCGTTACGTTAGCAATAATTAGAAAGAATTCATCATCAGTGATACGGCCACCAAATTTCTCTGTTTACTTGATTTTTAAATTTGTCCTTGATGTGTTTTGAGTATGACATATTTATTTAAAATTTTGCATGATGAGCAGCCTGCACAGGATAAGGAAGAAGGGCCTTGGACGGCACTGTGCAGCAGTCCAACCATGCGAGGATTTATTGTGGCAATTGTGAGGTGATTGGACTGCTAATAGTACTGTGCTAGAAGTAGTTCTGTTAGTTGGCTGGAGCTGGCTGACTTATCTCTGACTTCAGCTGCAGGTGGCTGGTCAGATGCTCCATTTCACTGACTGTGCATTAGAACACTGCACGTTAGGATGCTGCTTTGAGATTCCCAATAGCCAAGGCCTTTATTTTAGAAGGAGGAACAAAACCTTTTATTGCAAGTGAATAAGCTGATCCTGCTGCACCGTTGATTGGTTGTACCATATGGCAAATAGGAATTTTGATTCTTCAGAAACAAGGTTTTACTACTTTCTAAAACTTGAGTTGTGCATGAATAAAAGTTGCTGAAGTTACTCCGTTGCATGTCAATTTCTGTCTCACAGTGATTTTTGCATTTGTTCACGTCAGTGGTCAGTTCTACTGATTCTGTGTAGTGATTTCTGCAGTTCACATGCAATGTGTCACAGCCTGTACTCTTGATGATTGGGTTTTAAATGGGATTGAGACAGCCAACAAAATCTTTTTACATATTTCATAGAATCATAGAATTGCTCAGGTTAGAAAAAAGCCTTCAAGATCAATCTCAACCAAACCATATTATGCTAATAACAACCCACGGCTAAATCATAGAGTCATAGAATTGCTCAGGTTGGAAAAGACCATCAAGGTCATCAAGTCCAACCACAACCTGACCATACTACCTTAACTCTTAACAACCCACTGCTGTGGATGTGGTGCTCAAGGATACAACAAACAGTTGTTAAACACATTCAGGAATCAGCCACCTCCCTGGGCAGTCCATTGCAGTGCTTAACAACCCTTTTTTCCTGATATCCAACCTAAACCTCCTGGCGCAACTTGAGGCCATTTCCCCTCATCCTGTCACCAGTGAGAAGAGACCAACCCCACTCTCAGTGCAATCACCTTTCAGATATTGGAAGAGAGCAGTAAGGTTTCCCCTCAGCCCAGTTCTTCCCCAGACTGAACAGCTGAACAGCCCCAGATCCTTCAGTCTCTTCTCACAGAACACATCCTCCAAGCCCTTCACCAGCCTTGTTGCCCTTCTCTGGACTTGCTCCAGCACCTCCATGTCCTTTCTGTACTGCGGTGCCCCAAACTGAACACAGCACTGGAGGTGAGGCCTCACCAGTGCCAAGTGCAGGGCAGGATGACTTCCCTGGTGCTGCTCACCACAGCATTCCTGATCCAAGCCAGGATGCCATTGGCCTTCTTGGCCACCTGGGCACACTGCTGGCTCATCTTCAGCCCACTGCCCATCAGCACACCAAGGTCCCTTTCCATCAGGCAGCTTCCAGCCACTCCTCCCCAAACCTGTAGGGTTGCCTGGGGTTGTTGTGACCAAAATGCAGGACCTGATACTTGGCCATATTGAAACTCATACAGTTTGCCTCAGCCCATCAATCTAGTCTATCCAGGTCCTTGTGTAGTTTTACTGTCCTCTCAGCTCTCCCAGCTTAGTGTCATCCATGAACTTCCTGAGGGTGCACTCAGCCCCCTCATCAAGATCACTAATGAAGATGTTAAATAGGAGCAGCCCCAGTGCTGAGCCCTGGGGGACACCGCTCGTGACCGGCCGCCAGCTGGATTTAACTCCAGTGACCACAACTCTTTGGGCCCGGCCATCCAGCCAGTGTTTCACCAGCAGAGCGATGCCCATCCAGACCATGGGCAGCCAGCATCTCCACGAGGGTGTTGTGGGGACAGTGTCAAAGGCTTTACTGAAGTCTGGGTAGACCATGCAGCAGCCTTACCTTCATACACTGAGTGGGTCACCTTGTCATAGAATGAAGTCAGGTTTGTCAAACAGGATCTACCATTCATGAACCCATGCTGACTAAGCCTGATCCTCTGGTTAACCTTTAACTGATCCGTGATGGCTCCTGAGATTATCCGTTCCATAACTTTCCCCAACACCAAGGTGAGACTGATAGGTCAGTAGCTACCAGGCTCATCTTCTTAGCTCTTTCTGAAGATGGGCATCACATTTGCCAGTCTCCAGTCCACTGGACGTTTCTGGTTAGCCAGGACTGTTGAAGGATGATGGAGATTGGCTTGGCAGCCACATCCGCCAACTCCTTCAGCACTCTAGGGTGCAGTCCAGCTGGCCCTGTGGGCTTGTGCTGTTTGCAGTAATCCTGGCTTCTAGGATTAGCTCAGACTACTCCTTTTCATCTTGATGTCCTTGTCGCAGTGTATGAGGATGTTTAGGATTGTGTGCATGTCTTTGTATCAGTATGTTAGCTTTCTGTGGGTGAGACATGCTCCAGTAACATTCTGTCTGTGCCCTGCCTGTGTAAGCCAGTTTCAGCCTTAGAGTTAAAAAGGTGATAGGAAAAACGAATTTACTGATGGCTACTCCTTAAATGTGGAGGTGGCCAACATGGTCTGAATTATTTTTCAAAGGAATGATTCAGAAAAAAACACTAAAAGAACCACCAAACCCAAACTTTTTACAGTGGTCAGCTCTCTTTCCTCTAATTGCCTAGCAACCTTTTGGTACTTATGCGCATGGATGAAGAGATAAACAGAGTTGTCTTGTTGAAATTAAACCATGAGAAAAGAGTGGTGCAGTATGGTGTGATTAGTTGTCTAAAACATTTCCTTTTGAAAGAAAAGAGCTGTGTATTTGAGGCTGAATGATGGGGTAACATGAGTCTACTAATTGATTCTAATAGTGGAATCCTTTTAATGTTTCTTGGACAACATTTGTAAGTCCTGCATTTTGCCCATGTTTTGGGGATACGTGTCCTGTATATCAATTCCATAATAATGCCATTAGTGTTAAAAAATTGATGGAAGGGAAGGAACAAAACATTATTTTGTCTATTGTATTGGTAAGTAATGGTGCTTGGCAATTTAAAGTAAAGGATTGGTGCAGTGTAAAACAGTGCTCGGGTCCTGAAGTTTGCTTGTCAAGAAACAAACTTACATTGAATACTTTTGTAAATGCAGAAACTGTTGACAGGAGGAAGTATCAGGGTGTCCGTCTGTCATCCATCATAAGTCAGATGCCTTGTAAACAGTCCTTCCTTCTGCTCTTTTGTAGCTATGAAGCTGATGACTGCTTTAGTGAATGTGGCGTTAAATCTTAGTATTAACATGGACAACACACAACGGCAGTACGAAGCAGAACGAAATAAAATCATTGGGAAGCGTGCTAATGACAGGCTGGAACTCTTACTACAGAAAAGAAAGGAGGTTAGTGCGATTTTCTTTTGCTGGAGTGCTTTGTGACTGCTGGAGGATGAATGCTGCTAAGTAATTATTTCTGCCCTGGGACTTGTGTTGGTTTTTTGGTTTGTTTGTATCTGTAAAGGTAGTTGTTATTCTCTTTGGTTCATTCTTTAATTTGTTCGTGCTTAATATTCAAAAAACTTAATTACTTTGAAGGATGCTTCTTCCATTCTGTTTTTCTGTAGAAGGAGGTACAATTCAGGTAGTGTCAGCTTAGGAAAGTTAGCAAGAGAGAATGCAGTCGGTAATAAACAAGATTTGTTAGGTTCCTTGATGAGTTTCCTGAGATATGTAACAGGTTACCATGCATGGACTGTTTTTTGGCTTCTAGAGAAAAACCTGACGATCTCAATGTGCAGCACTGCTCTTATGGTGTCAATGTCACTCTCGGTAGAAATTGCACTGTAGGCTTCTGACAGGGTCCTTTCTTGTATACCAAACACCAAACAAGTTGCAGTGCAGCCTACTTCTGTTTTCTTTCTTTCTGTACATAAGAGATCTGCTGATTCATTGCTGACAATTGCTGCCCTGCTGAAAGCTCTAGCTCTTTCAGGTTTTAGTTTTTAATTTCTGGGGAATGAGCTTTTTCTTTTTTTTCTTTTTGGAATTAACTTTCTGATAATCAAAGGGAAAGCATCTCCCCTTTGCTCTGCAGCTTGTTGTGCTGTTACTTGTGCTTTTACTGCCTTGAAACAGTTTAGGTAAACCAACAGCTTTGTTTGCTGTCACCTCTCCCAATGCCTGTCTGTTTGAGACTGACTTCTTAAATACCCAAGAAGCACAATTAAGTGCAGTGTGCTAGATGTGTGTGCCAAACCAGTGCAATTCTATGTAATACATGATACACAGATGATGGCAGTGATGTGAATTTTTCTTGCATATATTGGCTGTTAGGATTCCTTTCCACCTTTTCTAGCTTTAGTTGGGATTTTTTGTTTTTGCACGAAAATGAAAATAAGTTTCCAAGCAACATTGATGTTCAATTTTTGTTTGTTGCTCCACTCATAACTTGGTCGTATCTGATGAATGCATCATGTTCTTGGATTCTTTTTGTGTGTCTTTCATTTAAATATGTGTTTTCTTCTCTCTCCAACTTAGAAGACAGATGTTATTAGATTTAGGCTCACAGCATGTCAGATTTTTTGGTTAGTCTTCTGCTGCTCCTTGCTTAGTTCTTTATTCTTCCTTCCAGTTTAAAAATCTTGTAATGCTGTGGAAATGTTGGTTCTTGTTGTTACGTGTAAAATTCTGTAGGAGAGGTCCTTTATCTTCTGTAACACCTGCCCATCCACTCCATTATTCTCTCTGGGTAACATCACATCACTGTTCATTTTGGTCTCCTCGGTGGTGGCGTTTGTTGCCTTTTTATATGTTTGTTGCAATCTGCCCTACTGGAGTGTCTGCTTCCCCAGTCTTCAACTTCTCTGTTGAAGAATATTGACTCATTCTGTCCTACCATTGTAGTTCAAACTGCAAAAATAAATTCTTGTCTTCCAACAATATTTAGTTAGTTTTGCATCTTTTAGCTGACTTTCTTATACATCTAAAGCAAACACAACTTTTTTTGTTTTAAAACACTGTACGCATCACTTTTCCAGTTTTTGCTTGATTGCATTGAGACTGAATTTGTCTCTTACATTATTTTTCAGCTCTGCATTCTTATATTGCTTGTTTGTGATTGATTTATTCCTGCTGCTCCATACTCTTGAAATTATTCTTCTGCAATACTGTATTCAGATTTATATTTCAGGAAGGAACTTAATCGCCGCATTATTTGTAAATGATAACTTAGTTTGGTTTGTCTAGATGCAACACTACCCAAACAAACTGTAAATGTGGTGCTCAGTGTTCATATGCTCTGTTCATTTTTTCAGCTTCAGGAAAATCAGGATGAAATAGAGAACATGATGAATGCAATATTTAAAGGTGTTTTTGTGCATAGATACCGGTAAGTTGTTTCTTAAATATTTTTTATATTTTACATGTTTTCATTAATCCACATTATAAGTTGGTGATAAGTTAATTATAACTATTTATCTTCTTGCTCCTTTTGCCTTTTGTGTGTCCACAGTGATGCAATTGCTGAAATAAGAGCTATCTGTATTGAAGAAATCGGAATATGGATGAAGATGTACAGTGACGCCTTTCTCAATGACAGCTACTTAAAATATGTAGGGTGGACTATGCATGATAAGGTGAGCTGCCCTGAGGATAAGGAGCAGAATCATCAGCCATAAAGTCCACATTTTGGTTGTTGATCCTGCCAAACCGGGTTCTGATCTCAGCTGTTCTAACCAATCACTGCTAGCCACTTGCTAACACTGGTGTTTGAGATGCATATAAAATACATGTAGGGTTTGAATGGTTTTAGAGGGTATGTACAGATCTGTAAGGAAATGGCCTTTGCCCTTTTATCTAGTTACTTATATTTTTGCTGATGCAGACTTTTGTTTTGTAGTACTATTTAAATTGCATGCATTTCATATGGAATAATCCAGCCAAATAGCCAAGCTGTTTTTTCTGTTTGGCCAAATTAATGATCTATTTTAACATCTTCATATAATTTTAAAAATCATGGGAAGATAAGTCCTGTCTGGTGCTGGTGAGTGCCTCAAACTGTTACTTGCAAACTGGAGATTATTCTCCAGGTGGAGCCGTCAAAAATCATAGCTTATGAATGATCCTAGATTCATTGTAGAGTCAGCAGCTTGCTGCAGATACTGTATTGGAGATTCTCTTCAAGCTACTGAACTTGAAGTGAAGCAAATGTGGGATTCTCACCCATGTTGTTTGCGAGTTTGGCATGGAAACAATATTAACTCCTGGCAGCGGAGTGGTAGGAAACTGTGTGAAGTCAGTTATCGCAGACCTTTGCAAAGTGCATCTGTGGCTGTACATTTTGGGAGGAATACCTGTCCCTCTATCTACTTAGTAGCTCTGATCTCACAAGAGATGGTTGTTAATGCTATAGGTGTTCCCTGTTGTGATTAAGTGAAAGGAAGCATGTGGAATTTTAGTTCTAAAATGTTCTAAGCATTTAAAATTCATCTTCAGATAATGAGACGGGTATATCTTGACTTAAAGATACCAACACAACAAGACTTCATTTTTTTCTTCACTTACTATAAAAAAGGACATTGTTATGCCATTAACGTGGTTATCAGTAGTGTATCTTGCCAGCATTCAGTCTCTGAATGAATTTGGACAGCTAAAGAAACTTGTCTTGTATGATCTGAAGATCACATTGTATACGTGACTTTTAATCCAGTTCTTAAAATTTTGTTTTAGCAAGGGGAAGTAAGACTGAAATGCCTAACTGCTCTGCAAGGGCTTTACTATAATAAAGAGCTTAATTCCAAATTGGAACTCTTCACCAGTCGATTCAAGGTTAGTGTGACTTCATATTTTTAAGAACATCCAAAAACTGTGGGTTTTTTTGCTGTATTTCCTTTCTTTCTTTTCTCAAAATATCTTCTTTTGTATTCTTAGGATAGAATTGTGTCTATGACTCTTGACAAAGAATATGATGTTGCAGTCCAAGCAATAAAATTACTCACTCTTGTTTTACAGTAAGTATGTCTCCTCACCTGACCTATAACAAATACTAAGATTGCGTAAGGGCTAGAAATGTAGAACTGAGCCTTGTGAGTTAGAAGCTATTGTGGAAGACTTGAACTGAAGCAATACAGTGTCTCCTGAACAGTAGTTGAACTGTGAGCATAACGACCTACCAAATACTCTTACTGTTTTGGTAACTTTTGTGTAGGAAGACACTGAAACTAAGGTACCCTGTTTTTACCTAGCATTTGCCTTCAAACCTTTGAAGGCAAAGGTTTAGATTCTTCTTTATTTCTATCTCCCATTGCTGGACTTCATACTTTTTTGAGACAGTCTTCTTTTCTTTCTTCCTCCCATCCTCACCCCTAGGAGTAGTGAAGAAGTTCTGACTGCAGAAGACTGTGAAAATGTCTACCATCTGGTTTATTCAGCTCATCGGCCAGTAGCAGTTGCCGCAGGGGAATTTCTTTATAAAAAGTAAGAGGGGGAATTATATTTACTTACTTGTTCTTCTGGATTTCGTTATTTGTGTGCATTAATACTAGATTTATGATTAGCTTTGATTAAAAAAAAATGAGTGATAAACACCTAGATTAAACATTTAAGAAAACAAGACCTTTCATCTAGACTTAAAGACTTTTCAGGCCTTCACATAGTGTTTCTTGGCTACTTTCAGTAACATGTTCAGTATATATTTTTTGCTAAAAGGGAACATGAGACCTCAAGCATCTGCAGTTATCACTGATGTTCCCCTGGAAGCTGTCAGTGAAATACCAGCTCAGCAAATATAAAGTTGTTCAAATGACATTTATACCAAATCACTGGCTTTCAAAATAAAACATAGAGCTTCACAGTAAGAGAAGATATGCCCATTTGTAAAAACAATATCTAGATGTGACTTGACCATGGCAAAGGGAGTGACAAAGAAATTCATCTTGAATTTGTTCTTTTTTTTCAGGCTTTTCAGCCGCAGAGATCCTGAAGATGATGGAATACTTAAAAGGAGGGGAAGACAAAGTCCAAATGCTAATCTTGTGAAGACATTAGTGTTCTTCTTTTTGGAAAGTGAAGTAAGTTGAATTGTGTGGGTGTTTGTTTTTGTTTTGTTTTGTTTGTTTTTTATTTTGCTTTTTCAATCCCTCCATCTGCCCCTGTTGGTTCTTAGCTGTTAATCTGTCCTAATTTTCCTCTATTGCTTGGGCATTCTGGAGGACATAAGACTCTTTGGGTTGTGCTTACTTGAAGGATTTGCTTAGTGTTTAGTTATGAGATAGGCTGTGAGCTCTCCTTTGACAAAATGCTCTTCCCCACCATTCTCCATTATAACATCCATCTAAAAAGAAACTGAGTTGGAGTTTGTATGAGGAGGAAAAAAACGTTCAGAAACACGAAATGATCGCTGAGCACCTGATTCTAAAAAGGTGCTGAGGACTTCATTCAATAAAAGAATTTAGGATGTTTGCTATTTCTCAGGATCACTCTGTAGGGTCCAGTCTTGTTACCTTGTTTCAGAATCTACAGACTGATGGTTTTGCAGTATACTGATGAGGATAGAACTAGGTAAAGGTCCAACAGGAAAAGAAAATCCAGCCAGACAAGCAAGCAAAACCTGTCAGCTGACTAAACAACAACAAGCAAACACAAAAAGTCCTACCAGATTCTTACAGGTCCTGCAGCACTTGATTCTTTGTAATAACTGATCTGGATTCATCTCTTACATTAATCAGGAAAACAGGCTTCTGTTAAACCAGAGAAGTCACAAAGTTTTCTGGTTTTGTTTGGTTTTGGTTTGGTTTTGGTAGAGTCAAAAGCTAGCAAGGCAAAAATCCTTCTGTTATAGCAACTTGTGTATTGAACTTTATTGCTGGTAAAGAAAAATATTTTTTTGTTCTCGTTCTAGTTGCATGAACATGCTGCTTACCTAGTGGACAGCATGTGGGACTGTGCAACAGATCTCTTGAAAGACTGGGAATGTATGAATAGTCTTCTGCTGGAGGAACCTCTCAATGGAGAAGAGCGTAAGAGATTTTAGTAGAACTTTTCTGTATGTTGCTGTGTGGTTTCTGATAGCTGTGATTTATAAGGAAATGAGATGTTTACATCTGGGTCACCATACAGTCTCTGTTCTTGAATGACTGTAATAAATCACTAATTATGAAATTTGAGGAGAATTAGAATAATAAGGGAATAGACATGTGTTGTCCAGTACTCCTGGTGTTCCACAGGTTCAGGCTGTACTTGCAGCATTGTAACTTGTAACTTGTAAGCAAGTTGCTTGTGAAACTAGTTCTTTTATTGAATATTAAAGCCACCATATGGGAGAGCACTGTCATTTCTTTAATGACAGTAAAAACAACCATAACAATAAAGCCCACCTGAGACAGTTCTCTAATTTGTATGTACTATTAAATGGACCTCTGAATAACGAAGAGCAATTAAAATGGTTATGAAACTTGATATTCAGTTGATATCTCTCAATTTCAAATATTTGCCTATGCTGTTCTGTAACGTAGTTATGTTCTTTATTCCCCTGCCCCCAGCTGGAATTGAGCTATTGACCTAAATGCCTTATTTATTTCTAACATCTATTTCTTGAAATTTCAGCTTTAACAGATAGACAGGAGAGTGCACTGATTGAAATAATGCTGTGTACAATTCGACAAGCAGCTGAATGTCATCCTCCTGTGGGAAGAGGAACGGGGAAAAGGGTAGGAGCCAAAATCCTACTTATCTAGATGTGTGCAAGTGGCTGTGTGAGGAGGACTGTGAGGGAAGAAGGAAAAGGTTTTAGCCTGTTGCTACTGAGGGGACCAAATTCAGAAATTGAGTTCGTCACTGCAGCCTCTGGTGTCTGACAGCCATGGTTCTTTCATTTTTTTCATGTCTGTAGCACATGTTTCATGTTGTTTGGACTGCTGCATTTGTTTTCATTGTTAAAGATACAGAATTGATTTTAAAGGAAGCATTGTTTGGAAAGAGACCAAATTTAGTATTTGGAAAAACAACAAAATAAAATAGAGCAAAGTAAGAGAGAGGAAATATGTTTCACAACCTCTTTGAAGGGAACACAGTACAACCAACTGGCTTTCTCTGATCACGTGAGGTTAATGTATCTGATTGTCATTTCATTAATGGCAGTGAAAGTTTGCTCCAGAGCTGTTGTTGTCATTTTCTAACAATACCAATATTGTAGGTGCTGACAGCGAAGGAAAAGAAAACCCAGTTGGATGACAGAACGAAAATTACAGAACTTTTTGCAGTGGCTCTTCCACAGTTGTTAGCAAAGGTAAGTTTAATTCCATCTCTAGCTGATGGGCTGCTGTTAAAATGATAAACAGGAGCAGCTTCTGTAATTAACTGTATGGCTTGCACAACTCTTCATTTTTGCTTATTAGTTTTTACTAATGTTCTATTGGTCTGTGGTTAATTGTGTGGTATTACGTCCCAAATTTTTTTCATTAAAACTTCCTTTTTCCTCATCAATCTTACAGTATTCTGTAGATGCTGAAAAAGTCACCAACTTGCTGCAGTTGCCACAGTACTTTGATTTGGAAATTTATACAACAGGGCGACTAGAAAAGGTAAGGTAAAGCTTAAGATCACTTCACACAAAAGGGGTGAAACAGCCACAATCAAAAGAGAGAATTTTGGCTTTCTCGCTTGAAATTCAGTCTATTGTAGGTGCAGCTTTTTTTATTGAGTGTGTCTTGCTTTACTGGAACCCTCATTGAGGATGGGACCTGAACTTAAGCTGCTCTTGTCTCTGTTTTCTGCTTCTCAAATGCACTGTGTTGCTGCATTGTTGAGAAGCAAGTAGCTAGAAGTTACTGGGGTCAAAAAAGGAATAAAATATTTAGTTGACAGTGTAGCCTAAAGGTGATAGAGCAATAATAAGCAACTCAGGGTGAGGAGAGGTATATGAGAACAAGTGAAGTTGGTTTCAGTGCTTATTGCCTGGGTGTTATGCAACTGAATCTTAATTTGTACAGCTTCTAAGACCAAGTATAAATTTTGGTGTGGGTGGGAGATAAGTGCTTCTGTGTTGTTTAGTTGTCATTGCAAATTGAAGTGAAATGAAGATGAACGCATACTGACAACAGCAAATTTTTAATTATTTCCTAAAAAGACATGAAATCTTCAGGCTCTGACAGGCTTCTACTTCATTTCAACTTGTGAATTTACCTCAGAGTTTCATCAGGTTTCTGGTGAACGGTTTTAATCTGTACCGTAGTTCTGAGAGGAGGGAAATAGATAGAAGCAACATGAACTTACTTGTAAGTTTTCCATACGCAGTACGTGTCGTTGTCACGATGCCTGTGTGTTTGCATATTGAGGTTTCTTTTCCTTGTTGTTCTTGTAGCATTTGGATGCCTTACTGCGACAAATCCGGGACATTGTGGAGAAGCACACAGACATCGACGTTCTGGAAGCCTGTTCAAAAACGTACCATGCTCTCTGTAATGAAGAGTTCACAATCTTTAACAGGGTTGATATTGCAAGAAGTCAGTTAATAGATGAGCTGGCAGACAAGTTTAATCGACTTCTTGAAGACTTCCTACAAGAGGTACTTTAATGTAAAACATCAACTTTTCCTGCTCTTGTAAATACATCCAGTATGTTGGTTTGCCTTCCTGTGCAAGTCAGTGAGTTGAGGATATGAACTGCTGTTCCTTTATATCAACACAGTGATTCTTGAATCTGCTTTTGGAGAAGTATCTTTTGGGAACTGGAGATATGTTTCAGATAAAGTGTGAAATTGTGGGACATTTTCACTCTGAGGCGTTGAAGCTCATGGTTTTGAGATAGGTAGCTTTGTTGTTGTGCTGGGATTCTCTTCAGATGTATTGGTGCCACCACTCTTGCCACTGATTGCACACTGCTGTTGATAAAAGCTCAAAATCTCTGGAAAACACTTCCCCTGCCATCCTTGAATTACAAGCAGATGCAGATTTATTAGCACAAGAATATTATTTTGTTCCTACACTATGCTAATTAGAAGAGATGATTTTCTGATACGTTATTTAATGTGACCCTGTGGGTCTCTGACACTCAACTAAAACTTGTTTCTCCTCCTCTTTATCTGTGATAAGGAGCATGGGAAGCTTCTTTGCTAACTTCTGGCCACACCTCTCAGATGCAGACATACTCTTGCTGAGCTTTGCTCCTGTCCCTCCTGCTCATTGGCCAGAACTGGGACTCCACCCCACAGTCACAGGGTGCTGTGGCCTCAGGAGGGAGCGCTCCTGTAATGCAGTTATGTCCCATTTGTGAGGAATAGGAAGAGCAGGGGGTAAGGCAGGGAAATGGAATGTCAGACAGGAAAATGGCAAGTACTCTGGTGGGACTGGTGAAACCTGCAGTGCTTTGATAATGTGTGGCTGCAGGACAGTAACATGCAGGGGACTTGTGTAATCTCTAGCATGCTGATGAAGGCTTTCCATGACTGCAGGTAGTTTATCCTATGTACTTCAATAGATGCCTTCATGAACTTTTTCTTTCGGCTGCTTTTTTCTCTTCAAGTGCAAACTTGTCAGAACTTCTGGGGAGATTAGAACAAAGCACCTCCCATATCCCTCCCTCCTAAAGACTTTCTAAGACTTTGTGATTAAAGTAAGATTGAGGTACTGACCCGTGGCCCAACTAGTCCAGTATCTATTGTCTGACAGTGGCCTCTGCTGGATTCTTCGGAGAAAATGGAAGCACCTACATTATGCCTTATGTTCAAGTAGCCTGAGTTTCTTTTCTCCTTCTCTCTTGTACCCCTCCACGCCCTGCCCCCCAGCCCAGCATATTTGTCCTTATGCTGCTGACTGATTTCTAAACGTGAAGGCTGATTGCTCTTCCTGCAGTTTGGGGCATGCCATGCATTACCTTCTCTCTCAAACTCTTCAAATCTTCTGAAAACAAATACACGGAATTGATAAATAATTGAGATGCAGTTCTTTTTACTGTCTTCCCCCCATCCCTCTTTTATTATTATTTTTTATGTTTTTTAATTTTCCTCTTTGAAGTTCCCTGGTTTGCTTGGTGTATTTTGTTTAGGGTTTCTTATGATATGTTTTTGAAATAGGGGGAAGAACCTGACGAAGATGATGCTTATCAGGTCTTGTCAACATTGAAGAGAATCACTGCTTTCCACAAGTAGGTAGAACTCTGCGAATACCTGTCAGGGTCCATGTTACATAACTTTGGTTGTTGTTGTAGCTTTTGTTATAAAATTTGATAGCTCTAAGTTTTATGCAACCTGTGTTGCATAAAAGCTGGAGTGCCATGTAGAACACATCACATCTCTTGAATACATTAAGAAATAAAAATCTGAAATGTGTTTTGTTTTGGGCTGGGTGGTGTGTGTGTGCATGTGTGTATCTGTGTACATATGAAAAATGGATATTGAAAGAACTTATGCTCTTAGCAATTATTAATATAAAACTAAGTTACAGAAGTGATGTTTGTTTTACATTTCTGCTTCCTTTCTAATGCTTCCAGTGCCCATGACCTGTCAAGATGGGATTTGTTTGGCTGCAACTACAAGTTACTGAAAACTGGCATTGAAAATGGAGACATGCCAGAACAGGTTTGTAACTAAAATCTGCTCTTTAGGAACAGAAGTAAATAGCTTTTGTTGCTGTTTTTTTTTTTTTTTTTCAACTGGCCTTTTTCATCTAACACGTTGTTTTCTTTTGGATTTCAGATTGTTATTCATGCACTGCAGTGCACTCATTATGTAATCCTTTGGCAGCTAGCAAAAATTACTGAAAGCAGTTCCACAAAGGTAGGCCCTTTTCCAGATGTATTTGTAAACACGCATTTTTACTTACCTGCATGTCATCTGTTGGGAACTGTGATGGAGTGCATTAAAAATCAGAGGTGTTTAATTCAGAAACAGTCCTTCAGAATTCATCATTCCAGCAATGGAATGCTTGATGTTTAAGTCATACCATTTCTTTACATTACTATATTGTAATTATTGATGCATACTGTGTTTAAGTTGATAGAATTTTAAGAAATTTTAGTTAAGAAACAGAATGCCTGTTAGTCTAGATGGTAGCAGTGCTAAGGAGGAATAGGAAACCACCACTAACACAGTAGCCTTACTACTCAGAGTACTTTGAATTTGTTTGCAAACTGAAATATTGATGAGAAATCTGTGAGCAACAAAACCTGTGAGATAACAAGAGTTCACACACTGTCACACTGCTCTGACTGCTCAGTTTGCTGCAGTCATGCTTTGTTGCTTTTCACCAGTCCTTTAAATGTGTTATATGAAGACATTAAAAAAACTAAGCTACATTAAAAAATTAAGCTACACTTGAAATTTATTCCTGAAATAGTGAGAGGCTCTTTTCAAATTCTGTTTGTAGTAATCTTGCAGGACAAAGCTCGGGCCAATGCCCTGTTTCCAATTTCACTTCATAAAATTGTGGAGGATTGTGGTTTCTTGTGTCCACACGATAGCACAGCTTGCAGAGTGGTGAGGTGGTTTGCTTTGTGAAGTGCCTGATGAAAGGAAGATGGTTTTTGGAAAGCCAACTGTTTTCTAACAGGCTTGATGAGTTCCAAAACATTTTGATGATCTTTTAAATTGTTCTATAGGTGCACGTATAGATGCTTTTAATAAAAGATGGTGCATTCTTCTTTTTATGATAGCTTTCCACACCCCATAGGAAGGGTGAATGTTGTGCTCTTACACCTGAAATTTCTGCACTTTCTGTTATTGGAGTTACTGATAATGCACCTTTTTTCAGAGCTGGAATAAGAAAACCCTTGAGATGTGTTTTTGTAGTGATTTTTTTTCTAAATACTTCGCTATTGTTACAGTTAATTTGAGAAAAACATGTTGTGGACATCTGTTGTAGTTTACTAGTGAGAAAAGGAACTACTCATCAATAATTTACAATCAGTAAATTGTATTTTTAAATGAATAATTCATTGTTACAATACCTGTGTTTTTTTTTTAATGCTGATGTTGTATGTATTTTTGCTTTTCTTGATTTTAGAATGTGATAATGTGAGCACTGAGTAGAGGGCAGGAGTGGAGCAGCATGCTGTGTAACTTGTGCTGACATTTTCTATTTTTTAGTAATAGGACATTTCTGTGAGATGTGGATCTTTTCTTTATATTTTCAGTCACATTAGGATTTCATTTGTCCAATGAGTAACTGTGGCCTTACTGACTCAGTAATTTGAGTCAGCTAAATAAAAGATTGGTCAACATCCCAATGTTAACGTGTACAAAACAGGGAATGTCAGATACAAAGTGCATAGCTGTGCTGTTGAGAACTCCTTACGTGAGTGAAGGACTTGGAGGCTTTATTAGCTTATTCTTTAAGAGAAGCAGCAGTCTTTTTTGTAATAAGGATTAAGATTTTACCACAAACCAAGAGACAGAAACTGAACTAAATTCTGGGGAGTCCTGTTGGAAAGGAAGTTTCACTTGGCTGTTTTGCAGTAAAATGAAATTTGTGATACTGTTCAGCAGGAATGAAAAGAACTTACTTGAAAAAAAGGACTTTATTAATACTATTTTCTGCTTCTGAATAATGAAGTCTGGTAAATAAAAGCTTTTGTAACTGTAGTTCAGAAGTGAAGCCTTTTTTGTTGTATTTAACTGCTTGACTGCTGCCAGACATACCAGGTACAAACAAAAGTTCAGTGTCAATGGAACACAACTGCAGAGAAGTTGAAGTGCAGCCCCAGAAGTGCCTAAACATACTGTGCCTGAAGATTCAGTTCTAACAAAGGCAGACTGCTAACTGCATGCTCTTTGTGAACAGGGTGACTAAGTGTGGGGATTACTTTCGTAATATGGGCTGCTTAAAATAAAAGCTACGTAGGCAATTTGATTTTTATTAAAATTTCAAAGAATATTTTTGTATGAAGGAAAGAATATTCTCCTGTTGGTAGCCCTCGTAACATTGTTAAGCAGTGAATGGTAAACGTTGAGAGAAAAGATTATCTGTGGTGAAAGTGTTCTGAAAACATAGTAAAAGAGTCTGTCTTAATAAGCAAGTTAGCTTGTAGCAGTAAGCAGCTGCTGCTTTTCTTTCTGCTGCTGAGATGAAGTGACACGTTGTACCAACGCGTTACCTGTGTTCTTGACGGGAGAGACCTGTTGTGTTTTAGGTTGCATGACAGGTTTTTACATTTCTCAGGGGTATTCCTTTTTTGTCTGCCCCAATGCTGCTTCGTAATGTAACTTCCCCAGCTCTGTGTGAGCTAGAATCTGTGTGTATGAGTAACTGAAGGAAGGACTCCAAGTAAGCTGCCAGTGCATGAAGATATTTGGTATTTGTGACAGTTTGATACTTGCTCAAAATCTATTTCTCCAGAAGTAGTACAGCTGCTTTTAAAAATTAGTGCTTATTTTCTTACAGAAGGGAGAAAAGCCCCAGCCCTCATCTGGCACTGTGCTTTATCCCCAGGCAGAGAAATTAAGAAATAGTCATACCTTATAGGTGTGTCTGTTGTAGTCACAGCTACCTAACAGCCATCCTTTGGGGTGAATATTCACCTCATTTAAAAAGAAAATGCACCCTGCTCTGAAGTTTTTGTTGCTGTTACTTTTTTTTTTTTTTTCCAATAAAGAGCTTTGTGCATTTCATCCCATGCCTTTAGTACATGGAGGATGACAGAATTGATGAAATTGCTACTTACTACTTTTGTTTCTGAGTTTAAGTAATGCAGCGAATTTTCACTGACAACATAAGAGGTCTGTGGTGGATTGCTCTATGGGTGTGCATGCACTACATGTGAACATGAAGTTGAAAAAAGCAAAATTGGTGCATTAAATCCTGTTCTTTAAAGGAGGATCTTCTACGTCTGAAGAAGCAGATGAGAGTGTTCTGTCAAATTTGTCAACACTACCTGACCAATGTAAACACTGCTGTTAAGGAACAGGTGAGTGAGAACATTAAGATTTTCTAATGTGATACTTCAAGCCATGTGAAAATATGAGCAAGATGACCTTTTCAAACTCAATTCATTCTAGCAGAAACTTTATTCAGAGTATGTTTTGTTTTTTTTTTTTAATTAAAAAATTAATTAAATTTAAATTTAATTACTGCTTTTACTTTTATTTAAACAATGATAGGCAGATGCACTGCATCAACTCTCCAGTTTGTGATTCAGGTGGGAGAATTCCATCTCAAGTCTTGCTTGTCATGACACGCATCTGTACTGGAGCAGCTTGTGGATTCCTAGACTCAGAGTTGGAAGGGATAGGAACAGCCATATAAAAGACAGAAGTTATCTTTTTCTTCTGTCTTTGAATGCTAATATTCCCACATTTCAGTTATGCTGTGTATGTGCTCAAGTACTCAAGACCCATGAAAAAAACAGCTTTCCTCCTCTCACTCTAAACATATGGGGACATACCTGGGCAACTTCTCTTAAGACTGCATAGTGTGTTCCTCAGTTCTTTGTAGCCGCAGGATTTTGTCTGGATCGGTAGAAAAAGGACGAGTAGTTAACATGCACGTGTTTATGGATGCATGCATGTAACCTGAGGGATTGCACTGTTGAGAGGCAGCATTTGTTTTTCTTGGTCTTCTGCTGGTCCACTTAGGCAGTGGTCATTTGTTAGCAGTATTAGTTAAGAGAGAATTGGAGACCATTCTGTCGAGCATTCAGAAGCCTCAGTAGTTATGTAGCACTCACAAAAGATGAGATTGGAACTTGAGATCTAAAGAATTGAGCCATTGAGTAACACTGCAGATTTTGGTTGAGTTCCAGTGAATTGCCTTTTCATTTTATCAAGTCAGTCCCCCATACAGTTGTTTTTGATTGGGAAGAGTTTTTAGCTAACATTATGTCTGAGGAATCTACAGACTTAGAAGTGTGTAGGTGTTTATTCCACATGAGTAGTGCCTGTTAGCAGGTAGGAGAGAGAAGGGTCCATGCTTTTTGGAGAAAAACGCAGACATGAAGATGGGGGGTTGGTTTTTATTTTTCTTGTATTTTGAATGGAATTGAGATATTGAGAAAGTACTTGCCTTGAATTCGGAGGGTAATTGAGTCAAGGAATGGGTTCAGCTGCAGGGACTGGGTGTTTTTTGTTCTGTGTTCAAATAGTTTTCTGGCCAGAATGTTCATAGGAGTTTTAGGTTCCACTGAAGCACATGGATTTCTTATAGCAGGATTATTTCTAAGTGAATGCCATGAACAAAATTTGAACGCTAGAACTTGAGCCATCTCAAAATGAGGAGGAACTAAGCTTTCTTCTGTATGTGGTTGTGATTTAAACAAACAGAAAATAGGCAGGAGCTCTTTTTGCCACAAACGGTTAAAAAAAAAAGCCTGGTTGAGCTTGAAGTTGAAAATCTGGTCTGCTTTGTCACACCAGTGCAGCTTTGCAACGCTTGCTGTAACAAGAATGTTTTCTTTCTGGAGCTGAACAGGTGTGTTCAAGGTCTGAATTCTCTAGTATCAAAATCACAAAGTGCAGAGTGTGAAAGTGTGAGTAACAAAAATTACTGAATCTCTCAGTAGGTCTCCTTAAAAGGCTGTGTAACTAAGGTGAATGCCCTGGATGTTAGAACTGCCTCAGTTGTGTACCTCGTGTAGGTGTTTTCCCCTCCTGCGAAAGGGGGCTTCAAGAGGAATGCATTTACTTCCATGATTGGGAAAGTGATGGTATTTTCTTTGTGGAGTTTGAGAACAGATCTGTTCATTAAAGTGGAGGAGATTAGATGGATAGGTACATCATGAAGCAGTGTATTGTCCTGAACAGTGTCAGTCTAGGTGTGGGTGTGTTCAGACTTCGTGGGGATGCAGTACAGATGTTCACATCCTGGGTCAGATGGAAGTTTGCCAGCAAAATGAAAGAGGTTGGTTCCTTTTTTGGAAGGAAGATGAACCTAAGGATCTGAAAGGGTTGAATGACCTGAGTTGTGCTAGATGTTTTACCAGTGTGATTAATCTATATTTATCTGTTCAATTTTAAAAAGCAAAAACTGGACTATTCTGTGGTTGATGCCCCAAAGTTCTCAAGTGACCTCATGTAGCATTCTTCTAGCAGAAAGTCTTCGTGCTCCTCACATTTCATTCTTAAAATACTTTGATATTTAGCTGTCTTCATCCATGCAGCATCTTTATTTAGATGCCTGATCTCCATACAGCTGCCTCATGTAAGGAGCTCTTCATGTTTTAAGTTCCACTGGGCCTCTTTAATTGATTAGGACAAGAGACCTGTGTGCACCACTGGGATCAGTGGAAATGCTTTATTCTCTGTTTAAATAAATTGAAACTAAACTCCGCTTTCCAAACAAGTATTTATTAAGGTTTCTTTTGGTAGGCTTTCACAATTCTGTGTGATGTTTTGATGATCTTCAGCCATCAGATTATGACAGGAGGACGTGACATGCTGGAACCACTTGTTTACACTCCTGATTCTTCACTGCAATCTGAGCTACTCAGTTTTATTTTAGATCATGTCTTCATTGATCAGGATGATGATAATAATAGTGCAGGTTGGTACAAAACTTAACGTTTCCTTCATGCGATTTGCTTTCTAATTAATTAATTAATACTCTTTTTTTTTGCCAATGCTCTTTTTTTTTTTTTCTTCTGGCTGTGGTAATTGTGCATGAGCGTGGAGACAGGTTTGACTTCTAAATGTCAACAGCCTGCTAAAGCAATTTATGTTTTGGGGATGCGTAAGGTGGTAACGATAAAAATTTTGTTTCATAGGCACCAATATTACGTGTCTCAAGAGGAGAGACTTGTCAATAGGCACTAAAGCACGTGGCTGTCAGAACTGAGATGTTGGTTTGTCTAAATCCTGACCACTGGCCCACATTGTTCTGTATTACGCTTAAATTAGAAGTATTTAAACCCAACAGTTTTCGTGTTTCAAACTCTTTCCAGATGGACAGCAGGATGATGAAGCTAGTAAAATTGAAGCATTGCACAAAAGAAGAAATCTACTTGCAGCTTTCTGTAAACTCATTGTATATACTGTGGTGGAAATGAATACTGCTGCAGACATTTTCAAGCAATATATGAAGGTAAATCTGAATCTTAGTGGTGATACTTCTTAGAAGTATTAAAGTACAGAAACTGAATTTTTTTAAATTGTTTTTTAGTTTGTTCCTTGTGAGATAACTGGATAAACTCCAAGGCAGTTTTGTAGGCCTACTAAAGTTATTCTCCTTGAGAGGGGAAAAATGGCTGATTGTTTTACAGTTCCTATGTAGGCAGTGGGGAGGGAAGAAGGAAGCCTGATAATTATTTTGTTTCTAGTTAGTGTCTTTTCTTTAGGATGTCTGTTTGATGGTCTGCTTTTACTTCAGCTAGAAGTTTACCAAGATTTTTAAGAATCTTCTCACAGAGATAAACTTTATGTCTGGCTTCATTAAATAATTTAAGCTTGCATTTTTTGGAGGAGAAAAGAAAATTGATTTGCAAGTTTTCTTCCTTCCCTGCCCCCTCCCCCCCCACCCCAGGAAAGAATGTGCTCTTTATATCTGTTTCTGTGTATGTTAAATATAAAATCCCTTCTTAGCTCCTGAGATTCACAGCTACACAATGAGTTCTCATTTTGTGAACGTGTTAAAACTTTGCTCCTTAGTGATTACATTAAAAGAAAAATAAAGATCTGGGCAGCCTGCTTTTGCCTGAGTGCCCTACATATGCTTTGAGTCACTAAATAACTAATTGGGTTTTCTTTGGACTTCAGATACTTCAGAAAATGAACAGGCAACTTCATTGGAAAAATTGCTATAAAGTTTTCCATAAGTGCTTGCATTAAGCAAAGAAAATAATAAAAAAAAAGAAAGCCCTCCCCATCAGAGTCATAGCAGTTACTAAAAAGATTAGATTCTAATCTCATACCCTGAAGGTGGTGAACATGTGTCATTAACAATTGTGTCATGGCCTTGAAGATAAATAGGTCGTTCTACCTCTAAAGTAATACTAGTGACATTAAACCATAATGTCACTACAAGTGTGAACATGTTAGTAATTTTTTCCTTTTCAGTGTCTGAACTCTTCTTTCAGGTGTAATGTTTTCAACTAAAATCAAAAGCTAACATATTCTGTGTGACTTTTTTTTCCTAGTATTACAATGACTACGGTGATATTATTAAAGAAACAATGAGTAAAACAAGACAGATAGACAAAATCCAGTGTGCTAAAACACTTATCCTTAGCTTGCAGCAGGTAAGAATGATTTACAGTATTTTATGCATGAAATTCCATACAGTATATCATGTGATGTTGCTTAATAGCTCAGGTGAGGTAGTAATGAACAAAGTCTTAGGAAAGGCAGGGAGAAATAAATTCAGACTGAAACGTTTTGTGCAACTATTTGAAAAACCGGTGAAAGCTTTCCTAAACGTTGTCCTGCTGAAAAGTCTGTAGAAGACTTTTTGGCACACACCAAACATTGCAACTGTGTGATATCTTAAAACAACAATTTAAGCCACAAATTCAGAAATGTGTTGTGAAATTTCTGGTTAACCTATTTGTGAACAGATTAACAAGGCAAAACACTTCATATTGTGTTGTGCTGCACTTCTCCACACTCTTTAAAACCAATCTTAGTCATTCAGTATTTCTAATGTGGTGGGGATTAAATCATGTTATTAAATTAAATCATGTTTTACTGCTCTTTTCAGTAAATGAGCTTTTTTGAGAAATTCAGTCAGGAGTTTGATTCCTCTGCTTGCATGAGCCATCTCCAGGAATCTTATTATTTACAGTACTGAGGAGATCAGATCAGTAAAGTACATCACTGCAAGCCACTTTAATCCAGTGTAAATCTTTGCTATTGTTGAAAGGACAAAGCTATCCCAATTTGTCCTCCTTCCCCACCCCTTTATTTAAGCACTAGAGTTCATGCAGTTGCATTAGTCTAGTTGAGAATTACCCCCAAAAAATCCTTAATGAAGCCCCTAGACTGATCTATCCGTATGGATATTATTGCCAGTACAGGAGAAGGATGACACCTTTATTTTTTGTAGAGCAGCATGACTTTAGCTGGTGGAAACTGCAACACAAAATAGGCAACTGAAGTCTGTGTTGTCCTTGTACAGGACAGGACCTTCTACAGGACCTTTTGCTGTACTTTTCACCAGAGTTTGCAACTACTTGTGATAGCAGGAGAATTCCACCATTGTTAATCTTTTCTGCCCCATATATTTTAAAGGAAAGATAGACAAAGTAGATGCAATAAATATAATTACAGGCAAAATAGGAAGGCAGTCATATTACTCTAATGGACAGTAGGAATGGTAACATGAAAGTTCCCAAATATTTAACAATACTTGGCACCTTCCAAATGTAAAAACACACAACCTGCCCACCAACTAAAGAAAAGCCACTAAAGCCAAACCACGTTAAATGTGTGAGCTAGCATTAAAATAGAAACTGAGCAGAGAAGGAATACTGAAAGTGATGGGGACAAAGGGAATAACTGAGTTTGAGTGAGCTGCAGCAGCATAAAAGAGCTATGCTCTTGTGGTCCAAAGTCAATTCAGTCTGGTTTTATTTCCGTCATTATTCTCATTTATGAAAAATATACAAAAAAATGAGTTCAGAAGGAGTAGTAGTTTGACAAATTGTCATAAAAATGCCATGTTAGAATTCAGCCCATTTGTTTCATCGCTGTCAGTGTGCAGATCAGGGAATCATAGACGTCCCACTTAGGGAGGGGCTGAAATCTGTTGTCTGATGTATTTGGCTTGACGCAGTCCTTGAGATGCGTGCGTTGTCCAAGCTGGTCTCAGACAACAGGGGCCTTATCTGAGCTTTCCTAAGCCTGCACGTTTCTTCTGCACGTTGGGTGTCAGGCTGTAAAATCACAATTTATGAAACTTAACTTTATGAAGCTTGTGCAGAACTTGTCATAATCTTTTTTAAAAATAAACTAAAATCTCCTTTTTCATTTCAAACAGCTTTTCAATGAAATGATTCAAGAAAATGGTTATAATTTTGACAGATCATCACCGGCATTCAGCGGCATAAAGGAGCTTGCTCGACGTTTTGCTTTAACATTTGGACTGGATCAATTGAAAACAAGAGAAGCTATTGCTATGTTACACAAGTAATTGTGGGCTTTGTATTACTTCCTCATTCATAAACGCTTCTTGCCCAGCGTGGTTGAAGTATTTCTTTGGGCTAATGCTGTTAGTTTAATACAAACTGCATCAGCACTACAGATGTTAACTTTATGTCACCTAGTTCCAACTTAGGTGCTGACTGAATGGTTGCTTTCTTGAAATAGGGAAAAAGTGTCCAGTGTTGATAGCACCCAGTTCTTAGAGCTTCTTCTACAATTTTTGCCTTGACGTTTTTTTGTTTTTAATGTCTTCTTAGGGATGGCATAGAATTTGCCTTTAAGGAGCCTAATCCACAAGGTGAGAGCCACCCACCTCTGAATTTGGCATTTCTTGATATTCTGAGTGAGTTTTCCTCCAAACTTCTCAGACAAGACAAAAGAACAGTGTAAGTATTTTCTTGCTGTCATTGGTATTTGTAATGATAACTGTAAAAGGTGTGCCTCTGAATATGCATGTGTGTGTTGCAGTAACCTAAAATAGAAGTTCAGGATCATAAACACAACTTCACAGTGATGCAGTCACATATAATCATAAAGGATAAATTGTGTTTTACTTTTGTTTTCTCACTTTTTGGTGGATGAACAGAAATCATGGTCTGAGTTTCTCATTACAAGGCTGTTTTGTTAAATAGGTGAGAAGTGTCAGTGATGATTTCAGTAGTTACTGATCTTGACAAAGTAATGTCATGTTGCAGGTATTTGGCATCTTTCTAATTAATGTTTTCCACTTAAAGGTATGTTTACTTGGAGAAGTTTATGACCTTTCAGATGTCCCTACGAAGAGAAGATGTGTGGCTTCCTCTCATGTCCTACAGAAACTCTTTATTAGCTGGTGGGGATGATGATACTATGTCAGTAATTAGTGGAATTAGCAGTCGAGGATCTACAGTAAGAAATAAGAAAACAAAGCCAGCAACAGGGAAGCGGAAAGTACCTGAAGGTAGAACTTTTCTCATTTTAAAATTTACTACAGCAGTTACTCAGAAACTGTAGTTGTTGATCTGTGTTTGTTAGCTTGAATGAATTGGCGTACTTCAATGTTGTTGTTTGTTTTTTTTTTTTAAGACAGAATAAGTTTGTGTGCATTTTGGTTGAAAACCTGTTCATCTGAGGAGTTGGAATAGCATTAACATTGAGGCACAAAAAGAAATAGAGGCACTGCACTGTATTAAGTTACAGAAAATAAAAGTATTCTAGGGTACAAGCCAGGGCTTTGTGGGTCACGTGAGAATTTGTGAACAAAAGTTAAAGAAATTGTTTGTCAGTAAGCAGGAAGTACATTTGGTAGATTTACACTTTCCATTTCAGACAAGTTTAAAAAGGTTTAATACCCAGTGTTTCCTTCTAGCTGAAGAAAGCAGCAGTAGTGACAGTATGTGGATGAACAGGGAGCAGACAATGCACACACCAGTCATGATGCAGACACCTCAGCTTACTTCCACAATAATGAGGGAGCCCAAGAGATTGCGACCCGAAGAGAACTATATGGGTGTCTATCCTATGCAGCCTGAACACCACCAAGCTCCACTGGATTACAAGTACGTAACCACGTAGGTCTGCATTGTGTTAGTGTTCATACACAAAACAGTTTTTGTTTAAAATAGAATAATGGTCTTTTTAAGCACGCAAGTAACGTGGATGTTGGCTCAAAGGCAACAGGAAGAAGCCGCACGACAACAACAGGAGAGGGCAGCGATGAACTACGTCAAGCTGAGAACCAACTTGCAACATGCTATGTGAGTGAGAGTGGAATGTGACTGTGGTAGTTTGGGAAGGGTGTTAAACACGGCATTACTCTTAGATGTCTTATGAGGGACACGTTCTTATCTTTCAGTGTTATATTTCTGCCCGTGCCGTACTTACATTTGACCTAGAATTGACATAAAAGCTGGGAGTTGTCCTGTAGAACTAGATGTCCGCTTGTATAGACTGATTGTCATGCAGGTCTTCTGTAGAACTTCCCAACTTAGACAGATATTCCTTCTTGCCTTGTCAGAAGGCGTGGAAGAAGAGAACTAGATCGTTTCTGTGTTGAGCGTGGATAGCTTCATGGAAGTCTCTGAACTAGATGTAGTTTTGATCTGCTTGTTGATTTCTCCTGCCTCTCAGTCCCCATTTGGAGGAGTCTTGTAAAATTTACTCTTAGAATCTTCTAGCTGGTGGAAAACTTCCTTAAATAGTAGTTAGGCTTTTATTGAATTACTTAATATCTATCTGAAGGATTTGTCATTTATTGGGAGTTTTGTGCTGAACGTCAGCATTTTGGATGTTCGCGTGCAGCTTTGGTGCTAAACAACATGCTTTCTCTTTTCAATTCCAGTCGGCGTGGCACAAGTCTAATGGAAGACGACGAAGAGCCAATTGTGGAAGATGTGATGATGTCATCAGAAGGGCGAATTGAAGATCTCAATGAAGGCATGGATTTCGACACCATGGACATAGACCTAGTAAGAAACTTACTTGTCCTTTTAGTTTGGTGTAGATGCAGGTTTCTGCTTTTAAAGAAAGGAGGCTGGAATCGAATTATCCTTTTGGTGAAACAGAATAATTGATGTTAATCTCTGCATTCTTAAATGGCTGTGCCACTGCCTGTGTACATATTCCATTTTATTTCAAACTGCCACACTCAAACACATAATAACAACGTAAGAAAATCCGTGCCTCATAATTTCTTATCCCTTAAGACTTAGCTTCATTTATTACAATGGAAGCACTTCATGTATATGTTCTGAAGTCACTGTAAGGTGTTTATTTGCTTACTTTCTATAGCCACCATCGAAGAACAGGAGAGAAAGAACGGAACTAAAACCAGATTTCTTTGACCCCGCTTCGATCATGGATGAATCGGTAGGTTAACTTACGTAAGAGGAAAATAATATTAAATCAGTCTTAAGGTTACAGCACTCTCTTCAAGTTTTAAATGGGAAGAATGCAGTCTTTACTCTGTCTTCAGTAGCCCATTTTGGCAGACTGGAACAGCCGATGAAATACTTTTTGCTGTAATTCAGCTTTATAACTTCTAAGGTATTTACACGTTCATAGGATTTTTGTTCTTATCACTTTACATGTAGCTGTGTCAAATTCAGACATCTTCATACTTAAGAAAAAAATGCAGAAGTTAGCAGAGCTTAAAATAAAATAGAATCAACAAAAACCTGCATACACAATATTAAAGCAACTTCCCTGTTACGATGAACTTAGTTGAGTGACTCTGATGGCATTGCCAATTGTCAGTGTTGGATTGTTTGGGATTTTTTAAATTGCCATATTAACTTCTACTCATAAGTAAGATAATGAAGAAAATAAATAATAGAGACAATACAGATCTATGTTTATGGAGATGAGAGGTATTTTTTCTTTCCATATGAAGTTTTAGGTCCAAAACATCCGAAGTCTGTAGTTTCTGCTTGCAGTTGCCCTTTTTTCCGACTTGATAAATCTGCAGTCTCTATTCTCTTTTAAAAAACTGCATGAGGGATTCCTTCTGTCTTGAACCACTTGTAATGTATGCAGCCATTTTTGACCTTGTGTAGCTGGTACAAAATTACACTGGAAATAACAAGCTGCAGCAACCCAGCAGAGGACAGTACAGCAAGGCTTCCTGGGAATCTTGGACAGCTTGGTGGAATTTGGAAGACGGTTACATATTTTTGCAGTATTGTTGCAGCGTGAATCTGTTCTTGTTATGAGAGAAAAGAAGTCCTAAAAACTGTTTTAAATGCAAATCCATATATTTTGTGCTAGTGCTGATGAATCAGATTAGGTTGTGCATCTAGCTGTTGTGTGTTCTTGAAGTAACAGCCAGAAAGTTAACCAGTCTTCTGACTTTCTGTTTTAGAATAGCTCTTCCCTTCCTCCTCTTAATTTTAGTTCATTGATCTGTGAAATACCAGTCATTTTTATTCTGGCAACACTGAAAATTTGGTCTTCTGCGGGTGTATCTCACTCAATTTCAGTAACCTTTCAGCTTTTCAGTTTCAAAAATTAAGAGTGGGTTTTATTTGTTTCCTGTTAGCTAGTTTTCTTCCCTGTTACTTTATCGTCCCATGTAAGCCCAAGACTTGCGAGGCACTCCTTGGCTGCAGTTGGGCAGCATCGCCACATGATGGCAGCCAGCTACAGCCTCATTGCTCTGCAAGCTGAGTAGTCGGTTCTGAGGCTGTAGCAGCGTCCTGCTTGTCTGTGCCAGAAGAAGCTGTAGTGTGTTTCCTGCAAGGAAGGAGAAGTGGCACACGGAAATAAGTCGGTGCAGTCAGGGGGACACGATCTAGCAGTCATCCCTGTGGCACATAGCAGGAGTGGTTGACCTGGAAGCAGGACTGCGTTGAACAGCTGCATCACAGAGGAGAGCTGCTCTTTAGCATAAGCTCCACCTAAATGAATTTAACTGCCTAGATGGGGAAGCTCTATTAATGCTAAGAATAATTTGTCTTAAAGTAGAGCTGTGATTGATCACTGGGTATTTTGAATGTTTGACGTATCGGTGAGGATGCGTGCTTTCATTGGCACAGAAAATAACGTGGCTTGCTTCCACGTGGGGAGTGGAATCTGATTCTTTGTTTCTGGAAAGCTTTCCATTTAATCATGTAGCCTTCTGAAGGACAGTACTTTTAATTCTAGCTATTTACGAGTGTCTTGCTTTGCTTTTTCACTCTTTTCCTGGCAGAAATACTGTTTTTATTACAAAATGTCAGGTTGGTCTTCCAGCTTGGTGCTGCAGGCTGACCTGTGGGTAGGAACACGGGCATGGCAGCAGCCAGCACGTGGAGTATCTTGTCTCAGGCTTAGTTGCCAAGAACTGCACACCTGATTTCAGGTTAAGACCTATAGAATTGCCGTTGTCAAACAAGTCTAGATTAGGTAACTAATTAAAAATGACTTTGTGGTTATTATTTAAAGTAATTAAAGCACAGAATCTAGTTTGTTTCAAGTGTGGGGGAAAAAATTTCTATTGAATGAGGAGCCCTTTCCATATGATGACATGAATCAGAAGTGTGGTAAATTTGGTTTGGAGGAAAAATAAACTTACAATGCCTTAACGTATCTTCAAGTGTCTTAATCTTAAACCATATGTTAATTGCTTTGCTTTTGTTAAATGTGTAGTAAACTACAAATTGACACCGTTTCTAACTTTTTTTTTAGGTTCTTGGGGTGTCAATGTTTTAATACCAGAGCAGCAAATAAATCAGTGGTGAAGTCATTTTCTAAGTGGAAGAGGAAGTTTTTTCAATACAAAATTGTGGTAGATACAGTGAAATTCTGAACAGATTTTTCTCTAAGGAGAATGACATGCTTTCAAGATCAAGTGCATTGAAGGGGCAGTTTTGTTTGCCTGCAAAAAAAAAAAAAAAAAAAAAAAAAGAAATGTAAAGGACAAGTAAACAATTTGAGGATAAGCTACACTTTTTGTTGGAAAAATCAATATTTTATTTATGTGCTACCAGTTTATTTCCGGATCACAAGAAGTATTCCCTCTTAGTTTTAACCTAACAGTCTGAGAGGTGTTTGGTACAGATTTGAGCTCCTCTCTTCATCCATTTGCTGGCTATGGTAAATAAGCACGAGCTCTGCTGGATTGCCGTTCCATCCACGAGGCGCAGTGATAGTTGGATTGGTTTTCTTGTGGCCATAGAGCCAGAAGAGTGTCAGTATTTCAAATTAAACACAAACTTCAGCTTGTGTGGGTTATGAAAGCGTTTTGTGGAGCAGAATTATAACCGCTTTTTGATCTAAAACACTTTTATTCCAAAAGCTTCATGCTAGCCTTCTCAGAAAGGTCCAGAAACTACGAGTGACCAGAAGGTAACAGGTCTCAGTCATGCTTGCCCATTTCCAACCCTGAAAGTTTGCTTGTCCTTTAAGAAAAATGTAATGTTGTGAAATTCCTTCCAGTAGTGCCACTGTATTTTGTCTCCAAATAAAAGAAGCTTATTGTAGTATGTTTGCAGAAAAATTCTAAACAAAAATTATACAGCTTATTAGAGTGTGGGAATAGGGATCTAAATTTTAAATAAAATTATATATATATATAAATTGGTGCTGATTTTATAATTGCGCAGTTTGTTTAGTTTTTTCTTACTTTTAAATTCCAACTTAAAATTATGAGGTTTCAGAAATATATTGAAAGTTTAACAATGTTTAAAAATAGAAGAGCATGAGAAGTCATGCTTTAAAAATGATTTTTAAATTTGTATTTTATATTGTTTTATCTATCTGTCTTTGCAAGCAGTCTTCAGGTTAAAGATACTTCTAACAGGTTACAGTACATTTCCTCTGTATGTAAATTAGATTGGATAATAGAAATTCATAAACAACCCATAATCTTCTTTGAAAGCTAAGCTTTAAACTTCATTTTGTGTCCATTCACAAATAAATTAAATTTGGTCTAAAACAGAGAGTGGATTTATGCCATTTTGACATCGACTCATTTTGCAAGGCTTAGGCAGCTAGACATCATTTTAAAGGAAATATTAACTTATATTACATATGTATATTTTTTGTCAGTTGTCTCTCAGTTCTCCAGGTATATTATTTTAATCATTCCATGCCTTAATACGCTTGCAATACAAGGATCTCCCAAACGGGCGAACACAAAAAGGCTTCCTGTTTTTAGACTTGGAAATCAAACATCGGGCTGTGGTAGCCAAAAACCATAGGGTGTCTAAAGGATCACGATGAAATGTAATTATTTTACTAAATCACGGGATAACGACAAACTCGGAACTAGGCCTGCCTAACTCATTCTGCATAAATAAATACTCATGTCTAAAAGTACTGCCTATATTGTTTTTCACACCACTGCATTTAATAGAACTGCTGAGAGGACTGTATATATGATTTTAAACTTAAGTTGATTTTTCTTACTCTTGAAGGAGTGTTTCTTTGTGAAAGCAGTTCTTACAGCTTTGTTTTCAACCAGCTAAAAATGTTTTATATATTTACCTTAACCTGTTGTCCTCCACATTCTATTGTCCTAATTGTACTGTTTTCTGATTTGTATTTATGTCTTGAGACAGTAACTTTTTGAATAAAAATAAACCTGCAGTATGTTGTATGTTTGATCTTTTTAAATCGGGGATAGGGGAGGCCGGTGAAGAAGGGGGAACGAGTGATGCAAATGTTATGTTTATAGAAACCAGAATCTTTTTCCATGTCTTTTAAGTGTTTGTCTCAGAGTTGGGATAATGTATGGAAAAACTGCACTGTTTTATATTTGTAATAAATTGTACAAGTTTTTAAAATGTGAATAAAGCACTAATTGGGTTAATAATTTAAAGTAGAAAAGTTATGCAATCATGATTGTTTGAAATATGCTTTGAGTTCAACTTGTTAAAAGAATCAGCGGTGTAAATACAGAGCGAGCTTTTCCAGAGGTTAGTACCTGCAAATAAAATTTTTAACATTTGTATAGAACTTTTACATGCCCAGAAATGGATGGTTAATTATTTTTGTGTTACCTTTTCTAAAGCCGTACCGATAGCCTTTGTGCTGCTTGCTTCTTCCTCCCACCTTTGGCCTGACGTTCCTCAGAGTGCTGTTGGTCCTGATGCTGTCCACAGCCAAACGGGGCCGCTGGTAAGGTCAGCTGGAACGGGGCTGACTGTACGCACTGCTTTCAGCCCTTCTGTGTCTCATGCACCTGATAAACGTTGTCAGCTTAACTGGCTGAGAGAGGGGAGAAAGCTCCTTTCTGGTAGAAGCCCTGAAGGGATCCCTTGTAAAATCTTACTGCTAGTGCTCCTCGTCCCTGCGAGTGGGACTTTGTGCTTCCTCACTACGCTCCTGGCTAAGTCTTGCTGTAAGTTCAATAATAATATCTCCTGGAACATGGATTTAGTAGGTCTGAGTTGGTAACGCAAGGAAAATACCCTCACTGTTCCATGTACAGTCTGTTCTAGTCGGAGCTTTGGGTACAGATGCCTGTAAATGAAAGAAACCTGACTTTGGAAAGGACATGTGATAAAAATGTAGAGAATAACAAACGCTTCAAAGAAAGTGGAGGCTGTCCTCTGATTCACTGAGGAGGCCGCAGGGAAGGTATTGAGGCTGAATGAAACTGAAAGGAAATAGTCATCAGATACTCTGTAAAAAAGTATTTCCTGATATTAAACAACCAAAGAGAATATGTAAGAAGCTCACGATTGCTGTTGTGTTTTTTTCCCCTTTGGATGCTGCGTTCCCGATTCAAATAGCTTGTTTTAGGGTCAGGTAATTCACTTCTTCTCTAATCTTGGTTTAACTAAGCAGTTGCCACATCAAATTATTACTCCTCGCTGTTCTCCAGATAGTTTACACGTACATTTGTCCCAGCACACAGCTTCACAGTCCTGGTATTGCTAGCTTCCTACTCATAAAACACTTAATGCTTATTTAGAGATTGACTGCCTTTCAATCTGTAGCTACTTGACTTTGTTTTTCAATGGCCTGATTAACGTCACGGCCTACTTTGTTCATTGAAGCATTTATTGAAACTGACAATTTTTGCTTCAGGATTCTGACAAAGTGCAAATTGGTTCCTTAAAAATGCTGCTTAAATGTTTTGACTGCTTTCGTTTAATTTTAGCTCAATTTTGCATGGATGCCCTGGCCCTGGAGACACCCAAGGTCAGGATCCAGGCACCTGGTGGAGCTGTGGTGTCCCTGCTCAGTACAGGGTGGTTGGACCAGGTGGCCTTTAGAAGTCCCTTCCAACTCTGAGGATTTTATGGTTCTGTGACTCTGTTACAATGAATTTATGATACTGAACAGCTTGTGCCGTTCCTGTTGTTCATAATTGTAGGTGCACTCTAATAGTGAGAATTTTGATGTCGGCGTCCAAATGGAGTCATTTCTGTAGAGGAGGGAGATGGTTGAAAAATGCAGTAATGCAGGGCAGTATTAACAGTTCCATACGAAAAAAGACGATTCGTATCCGCTGTCCTGTCTTTTGCCTCCGCTGTCTTTCCTGAATTTCTTAGAGTAAATGTTAATTTTTACATATTTATAAACAAACGTGCATTTTAACAGCTGAACTTGTCGTAGATGTTGGTAGATGAGATTCGGTTGCTTTATTGTTGTGGTTTTTGCAGTTACTGCCAGGTTTTACAGGTGGAAATCACGGTAGCATTACAGAGTTGAGCTCTGTGCCCCTCAAATTACCCAAAGCGTATTAAATTGGTTTTTGGTATCTGCCTGCCAGAACCCCACATTAAAACTATTATTATTGTTTTAGACAATGTGTTCATTTCTTTGTGATGGAACATGAGCTGCACTTCCAATTTTGCAAGTGAAATTTATGTTCAGCTCGTAACAGCTTGAATTCTGCCCTTCTAAAGAAGGTTTGTTAAGCTGTGTATCGAAATATTAAATCCTTTAAGGGTTCCCTGAAATAAGGAGGTGTGAAGTCAGTAATTGCTTCTTGTTAAAGTGTCCAGGTTCTAAAGGGGAGGTTTGGAGGTTGACTCGTGGTGCTGGGGCTCCATTGCAGCCTTCTGCCTTGGCACTGCCAGCCTGAGTGCTGCTGGAGCTCCACGTGGCAGCTCCAGTCAGGTGCTGCACTATGGCTGTTCCAGGAAGCCATGCAGTTTGCCTCTGCTTTTTAAATAGCAGTTAAACCACAGTTCTTGAGTGACAAACATGCAGATCTCTTACCATTTCAGCACGTTCTTCACGGGTTTATATTGTTTTCTTCATTTTAGACTGTTGAACTCCACCAACAGCAAAAATGCAAACCACATCCACTTGTTTTTGTTAGCGTGCACAGAAGCACTTTGAGACATGGTGTATCGTGTGTCTAGTCTGTTCTTGGTGCTTTTCAGCTTAAAATACCGAGCTGTCTCTTACATACCTGGTTTGGAACTGTCCCCTGACAGAACTTGTCTTCTGCATCTTGGAAAGAGCAGATTCTCTTTTTGCTTTTTTCTTTTCTTTCCATGAGCTCTCCCACTGCAGGCATGGCAGTGCATCGTGCACCCGGGTTGGGTTAGGGAGGTGGCTTTATTGGTGGAACTCTCTTGTAGTTTTCTTTCTGTTGGAGGTACTGAGGGGTTACAGTTTAAGGACGAAGCACAAAAATGCTGGTAGCTGGAGAGTCCTGTGTGTTTGCACTATCGGGAGCTTGTTTGGGAACATTTCGTTTTTCTTGCTCATTTCAGTATCTTGTACTTGGTGAAAGCAGCTTGTTTGAAGTGCCATGAAGCTAAAAGGAACAGATGCTCTACTTAAAGTTGCTTTCATTACAAATTCTTTTTTTTTTTTAACCTTGCAACGCTTCATCTTCCACATCTTCCTCTTCAGAACGACTTGTAACTTGCACAGCTCCCAGGCTCACCTGTCTGGTTGTGTGGATCCGACAAGAAGCAGCTCTGTGTACGGCAGTAAGAGCACTAAGAAGGGGATTTCAGCTATTTGCATTACCTCCCTTTCTCTAGGATTTGTTTTGCATTTACCAAAGAGAATATCTTGTTTATGTTTGCTATGTTGTGCTGCTGTTTTGTCACAGGTTGTGACAGATGCTTGGGTACTGTAGTGTAGAAGTGTCATCTCCTCCTATGGTGTTGCCTTAGCCTGCAGTAGTAGAGCTGGGTCACGCTCCATTATTAATAGTGAAAAGATCTGTTGTTTGCACATTGGCTGAATCCCTGCCTCCGAGGGAGTTTATGTGTGTATAGAATCTCTTATTCATTAACAGCTGGGGATGGTGTGTGGTATGATCTTGCTCATTGGAGACGGATGGGGTGGTCAGTATGAGCTGGGCAAATACAGGCAGCTCTCACCTGTTGGCACAATGAGGGAATCCATTTTTCATCAGAAAACATTATGGACAAACAGAGCTGCTTGGTTGTGGGTCAAGACTTTTCAGACCATGGTAGACGGGTGTGCTGCATCCATACCTCCTACCCGTGCAGGGGGAGCGGAGTGGGGACGCTTCTACCAGTGATGTATTAGCTGAGACCTCTTCCAAAGTCGTAAGGAGTAAAGTAGTTCCAACTCATCCCAGCCTATTTTTGAAGAAGTCCTCTTGCTTGAAGTGTCCCTGTTCTGCTCTCCCCTTCCAGCACGAATGTAGAAGTGCCCTCTTACTCCTCTCCTAAAGCGATGCTGTAGCTGTGGCAAGTGGGCAGAAGCATTCCTCTTGGGGTACTGAAGTGATGGGCATGCAGGGGAATCTGCTTTATCAAATTGTCCTCTTTAACCAGCACGCATACAGCAAAAGGACTATTTCCTGAATTTAAGAACAGTGATTCTTCTAATGATCAGCTTTTCCCTTAAGATGTTAAGGTACAGAGGACAGAGCGTGCTGCAGGAATTAGGTCTGACTGGTTGGGGGAGCTGAGGCTTTCAAGGCAGATGCCTGTCATCGAGTAAACTGATGCACTTGGTACAGCTGATTACAAAGAGTTCTGCTCTCAGAAGAGGATGCTAGCAATTATGCAAAGTGAAGCTCAAGTTGGTAATACCACGCAGCTCAAATCACTGCAAGGGTGTTCTCAAAAGTGACTTGCAGCTCTTGCAAAAGTCAATTGAAAGTCTTAATTCTGCTTGCATTCTTGTACCTGTGGTGTTCAGGGCTGAGATCCGCGTGGCTCTTAGCGTTGGATATAGATAAATAATTTGTGATAATGTATTCATTCAGGTTGGCCTCTTTGATTTGTCCAGGCACCGGATGTTCTCTCAGTTATTTCTGGTAGGACCGTCCCTTGCTGAGCTTCATGATTTACCTTCCTGCAACCCTTCTGAAATATGGGAAGCTTTCCTAGTTAGCTGTGGTGTTGTGATGGGGGTGGTTTTGTTGTCCTTTCAGAGAGCCAGGGCTTTTCAATGATGTTTCAGTACAGCTCTTAGAATCTAACACATCACTGAAGGCAACATTCATACGGCAGCTGTAGAGCTTTCAGACAGCCCCTAGTCTCCAACCAGACCGGGAAAAGCTGCAAGCAGTTTGCAACATCCAAGATGTTTGTTACAACACCCAGAATGTATGTTACACCATCCAGCCTGCTCATGATTTTTACTGACTGAAGAACCATTGGTTGAAAAAGGGCTCTTAAGGTCAAGTAGCCCAG